CATTATCAGCCGTTTGGTTGCTGAATAGAGATGTACTTGTACTGATTACTACCATGAGAATAAGAAAATAATAACGGTGTAACTCAGAAGACATTAATGGACCCGTTCGGTAAGCCAAACTATATCAGATTATCCAGCCAAATTATCTACCAAACACCCAACAGCTTAAATGAGTGCCCTTAGTGAATTGGTTAACTTGTTGTTTGATGAGGGAAAGATAGGACTCCTTCCGTCCCACTAAGTTTGGGACAAGGGAAAGTGGTACACAAATTTAGATAAAGTACAAATAATTTTGAAGCAGACAAAAATGACAAATAATGCATGGGACAGACATAGTGGGAAAGAGTATATTATTTATTATGTTGGATGAAAAGAGGCCAAATAATACTTCTGCCATCATTTTTGCATGTATATTTCCTTATCAAAATCTAACCAAAGCGTTCATTAGTTTTAAAAACCAGCCACAATTTCAGAAAATGAAGCCAAATTTTACCCACACCAAATGTGCTCTATATATTTTGCTTAAGTTAGCTAAGAAATAATTTTCATCTAAGCATTCTAGAGGCTGGAAGCTTGTATATAATTTTACCAGGACAAGTGAAGAATAACTTATTTGCGAGTTATATTCAATAATAATCAGCATTCATTATTATTAACACCTTGATCCCAACTAGTTTGGGTATGTGGCATGAAATTTAGTGCCAATTAACTTTACAGGATAATTACCGCTATAAATTCATGTGAAAAGCAGTAGTGGCAATGTTTTACGTAGGATGTCCTTTCTCTCAATTGAAAGTATTCTGCCTTATTAATATATCCTTTGTAGTCATAATTGATCGAATGCATTAGTTAAACCGTATTCTGAAAGGTCGTCGTCTTGGTGTTGTACTGAACATAAAGAAGAAACTTGGTGTACCCGTCCGGAACAAACCACCTCAATAGATATGGTAGTTCTTAGTACTTTTTATATTTACATCCGTTTTAAATGCAGAAATATATAAAGGTCAAACAGTTCAAATTTACATGGTAGAATGCTTATATGCAATAAATCTCTACCTTTCCATCAAACTGCAAACCACTTTTATCATGAGTCACTTCTGTACCATTTTTAGATGAACACACAGCTTGCTCAGATTTTGCTATGTCATCATCACCACAGTTTGCCTGAGAGTCATGCAGATGCACTAGAACCAATATATGAAGAAAAGTGAGTTGTGCCACAAAGGAAACTTAGTGGTAAAAAGTCAAACAAAAAAGAGGCAATCATTAAAAGAATTGGCAAAAAGTGATATTGGTAGGAAATGTTCACTATATTCTACCCATACACAATGGGAAAACGAGAAAGTGGAGGCGCGTAATCACAGATTAAGCAGGCAACGTGTGAGGGGCCTGCTCAGCATATTTCATGCATTTTGATTTTTGAAGAATCATATTCATGTATTTGTTATAGACTAGTTGTGTGAGCTTGGTCCACCCACACCCTAGCTAGCCGTGTGGAGGATGACATGTTGACCTCAATTATGGGAATACACATTCCCTCACTAGAATATACTTCGATCTCTACCCCTAGTCTCCCATAGACATCAATTGCTGCTTTCATTGAAAGCTAGAGCATATTAAGTGAGCTCCTCTCGTGGACGGAGTATATGGCTTAGAAAGGCTGATAAAAATTAAAATAAAGGCATATAAGAGTTCTGACCTTGTCGCCCCCACTACATGCTCATGCCGTGTCAACAAGGTTGCCTTTGAGGATGTAACTATTTTTTGGAGGCTGGAGATTTGTTTATTCTCTTCAACCCCTTAGGAGTTAGGACAATTGTACTAGAACCTGCAAATGGGCTAACATGGTTTTTCTCTACATAAGCCGAGCAAATCTCGCAATATCAACATATTCGTTAGTTGTTGGTCTCTTAGGCTTGGCCAATGCCATGCGGGCATGATGCCACGAGAGCTGGTGCCTCTTCAAGTGCATACCATATCTTTATACGGAGTATATATTACGGTGTAGTACTTTCTTATCTTATTGAAAACACACAATTTTCCGGGTGGAAAGGTATGGGCCTGACGAACACGGGATTACAGACTTACAACTGACTCGGCATACCTCCTTGATCTGCTCTTGCCAAACTTGCCATAGAACAAGAGAACAAGGGGGGAAAGTGATCTCCATGGCACCCACCTCAGATGATGATGAGTCTGTCAGGAGCTGGTGATGCTTGTTTGTAACTTCTTGAAAAGGAGGACTTCATCTTAAATCACGCCCTTTCCCTTGTTAGCACTGGAGCGAAGAGCACCCAACCTTGTTGGATTGATCAAATATGCAGTATTAAGGAAGAGCAACATGTGTTAGAGTAAGAAAACGAAAATAAGCTAGAAAAAGGTCAGAGAGTTTGGTGACAAACTTAAATGGGGTGTCTTCTTCAAGGTCAGCAGCAGACGACTAAGCATTCCAGCAATAGCCAGCTTAGAAGGATGCATTGGTGGGAACATCAACTGGCAGTCATATGGCTTCCTGGATCAGGTTTGAGAAGGGGTCTCCTAGGTGATGAGCTTCTTTATAAGAAATGACCCTAGATAGGAGTAAAATGCCATCAATATACCAAAATATGAGTGACATTGTTTTTATCCCCTAAATAAGAGTTTGACAGTGTGAATGGTGGTAGTGTGATGACAACATAGCAGTGTGAATTGTGGCAATGTGATGGTGGCAGTGGGGTGGTGGACTACCGGTCAACAGTGATCAACGCGATGGCACTCCGGCGTCCCACAGCGGCGCTCTAGCGGCAGCACTGCATTGACTGGTGGCGGCGCTCTAGTGGCAGTGTGGCGGGACTATGTGGTAGTGTGCAATGTGAGAATGGCAGTGTAACTCTTGTTTAGGTCACATAAAGAGTGACACTCCTATTTTAGTATTTTAATTATCTTTTGCTCCTATTTAGGGAGTTCTCCCCTTCTTTATTTTGATTGCACGGGCGCCAAACTCAGTCGACTAGGTAGGGTAGGTACTTTGAATATACATGCTTTAAGCACTTGAAGGATCCATCAGCATTGAATGGATGGGGAGACCTGACGAAGATTTATACAAACTTTGTCTTCCAAGAATGGTGATATCCCAGAGGAGGGACCTCGAGATCCCCGTAATGTCTCACTAAGGTGATGATCTCACAAAGATGCTATTGTTGAATCGAGACAAGTATTTGGATAAATTATGAGATTTATGACGTATATGTTTGGCGCCCAACGGAATGTATATACTTTGACTTTCTTACGCTCGAACTTTAGCTCGCAAACACAAATACTTGTTCACAAAGCGAGAAAATTGAGCTGTTTGGGCTCGGGATCAGACGTACAACTAGTATAGTATATGAGATATCCACCCTAGCCATGTTGAGTAGCTGAAAGCATCACAAGCTCACACTCTGACCTGAGAAGCATGGGACACGTGGAATCCCATGTGAATCAGCAATCCAACACTTGCTTTAGTCTCTGTATGCGGTGACATGAATTCCTCAGAAGTCATGAATTAATACGAAGGGACTCAGGAGAATACAAAACCAACCTTAGGCTTGAGAGAGGGCAGCGTAGGACTTGCATTTCTTGGACGGTCGTTTCCCTATCTTAAGCATATACCATTTATGTTCATGTCAGGGTTTGATTAGGCAGGCTTAACATTGAATGATGAAGCTGGCCAAATAGTAGTGGGTATTTGGAGCAAGTTGACAAAGACAGAAGGCCGGCGTAAGTAGATCACTCAATGACCAGCGGATGAAAAGGAAATATGAGTCCAAGGGTGTGCGAAAACAAAAATGATGTAGGCAAATCAGAACATGGCACAAATATCGAGTTGTAAATTGTGAGATGCATTAAATAGAACACGGCTACCTATGGGGACATCTGGTCAGCTCGGAAGATGCGGTCTGCTTGAACTTTTAGCCGTTTTTGGGTACATGGAGTATTTTTCTGCGGGTTTTTCATTAACAAGTTCTTTTATGAAGCATCTACTCATCAAGCTGGTGATTGTTGTATATTTCCCCATGAGTCTGTTGGAAACAAGGTCATGTATGGTTTCCTTTACTCCCTCCCACCCAAAGTGCTTTTGATTAGGGGAGTGGGAGGATTATGATATCCACATGGGCATCTCACATTGGTTGTCCATTAGGTTTGAATTTATAGTATAAAAGAAGATTGGGGTAAACCTCACATATTAAGGATTCCTATTCAGGTAAGTTAGTGTCAAATTAACAAGCTATTCTTCTATAAGAGCCAAGCCTGTTAGTTGTTCGTGAGGTGCCTGCCCACTTGGTGGTTTCAGGCTACTGTTAGGGGTTCATTTCAGCACATGTGCGGCATGTGATGTGCCCACCTTTCCATCATCTTTGATAGAGTCAAAGAATCCACTACTCCGTATTTTTTAGCTTTGGAGTATAATGGAATAAAGCAAAATGACTCTTTAAACTGTTAGCGCTTCTTTTATTAGTGAAGTGGCAGTTAGTCAATATAACTTTTGATGCTCACCATAGGGCATCCGAAAACAGCCGCTCTATCTTTTAAACATAGGGATAAGGTATGCGTACACACACCCTCCCAAACCCTACTTTTGTGGGATTCAACTGGGTTGTTGTGCCCACCTCTTTAGTAAGCCTGTCATAGATAAACTTGGATCGCGATCTGAGTAGTATACTTTGAAAGATTTGAACATAGAAATCAGAAGGCAACATGTGAAAGCCCAATCTAGTAGCTATGAACTAGGTTAGCATAGCCGTCCCTTTGTCAGCCCAGCCAACTGTAGGTCAGTTAAGTCTTCAAGACATGCTTCTCATCACTTTGAAGCAATCATATTTCATTTACGCCCCGCATGTTGGCCTGACGCCCCGCATGTTGGCCTGACAGACGAAGAAAAGAGGGAGTTCTGAGACGCCTTGGATGGGGTGGTGGTTGCGCCCCGCATGTTGGGGTGAAGTGCGATCAATGTCGTGAGTGCTTACGCCCCGCATGTTGGCGTGACAGACGAAGAAAAGAGGGAGTTCTGGGACGCCTTGGATGGGGTGGTGGTTGGTTTTCCACTGACTGAGAAAGTTGTCATTGGAGGCGACTTCAATGGCCATATTGGGGAATCGGCCGATGGCTTCGAGGGCGTGCACGGTGGTTTTGGCTTTGGCAGTAGGAACCCAGCGGGAGAATCACTCTTGGAGTTTGCCAGGGCGAGTGATATGGTGGTTGCTAACTCTTGTTTCCCTAAACGAGACGACCATTTGGCTACATTTGTTACTTGTTAGTGGAGTGGGGACGACACAGATCGACTATCTTCTCCTGCGCAGGTGTGATCGGGTGCTCTGCAAGGATGCTAAAGTAATCCCGAGTGAAAACATCACTACCCAACACAAGCTTTTGGTGATGGATGTTATGATCAAGTGGGAGAAACATAGGAGAGCTTCGAGTGGCAACACACAAATCCGGTGGAGGAGATTAAGTGCGGAGAATATCTCCGAGTTGACCAGGCGAGTGCAGGAGAAAGGTGCGTGGAAATCGGCCAGAGAGGCTACTGATATGTGGGTGCACACTGCTAACTGCATCAGGGAAACAGCCAGGGAAGTGTTAGGTGTGAGCTCTGGCTCTGGAAGTAGGCGTCAGGGTGATTGGTGGTGGAGCGATTCAGCCCGAAGTAAGGTGGAAGCTAAGAAGGTGGCGTATTTGAGGTACATGCGCTGCAATGTTGAGGAGGAAAGAGCGGCGCTACGAGAGGAGTACAAGAAAGCACGTAAAGAGACTAAGTTAGAGGTAACGAGGGCAAAGAATGCCGCTTTTGAACGCCTCTACAAGGATATTGAGGAGAAAGACAGTGCCACTGTTCCGGCTTGCTAAGGTGCGTGAGAGGAAGGCCCGAGATCTGGATCACGTGAGATGCGTGAAGGGCAGCGATGGTAGAGTGTTAGTTGAGACTGCGAAGGTGGCAAAGCGCTGAGGGGAGTACTTTAGTGAACTCTTAAATGCAGGAGGAGACTAGAGGCTAGTCCTTGATGAGTTGGGACAACCCGGGGCATCTCGTGTGTATTGCCAACGCATTTGCCTGGAAGAGGTGGTTCGGGCTCTCCGCGGGATGCGTAGTGGGAGAACTTTGGGACCAGTTGAGATTCCGGTGGAGTTTTGGAAGCATGCGGGTCGTGGTGCGTGGGTTTGGTTAACCAAACTCTTCAATGTTATCCTCTGGACAGCAAGAATGCCTGAAGAGTGGAGGGAGAGTCTCTTGGTTCCTCTGTTTAAAGGCAAAGGTGACATTAGAATTACAGAGGCATCAAACTGCTTAGCCCTTAGCCCTTTTTCTCGGTAGGGATGGGGTTGGGGTCTGCCCTTAGCCCTTTTTTGTTCGCCTTGGTGATGGACGTCCTAACTCAAGGTGTTCAAGATGAGGTCCCATGGTGCATGCTTTTTGCGGATGATATTGTGCTTATCGACGACACGCGTGAGGGACTAAACGATAAGTTGAAACTATGGCGCCTTGCCCTTGAGACTAAGGAATTCAGAATAAGTAGGAGCAAGACTGAATACTTGGAATGTCGTTTTAGCGGCCGGGATACAGAACCAGAGGTGGAAGTCAGGATTGACTCTCACCTAGTACCTAAGGTAGACAAGTTTCGACATCTTGGCTCGGTAATCCAGGCTGATGGGGAGTTAGATGGGGATGTTGGACACCGTGTTGGAGTGGCTTGGGCCAAATGGCGGTTAGCTTCAGGGGTGTTGTGTGATCCGAAGATTTCGCCTAGAATGAAAGGTAAGTTCTATCGATCCGTAGTCAGACCTGCTATGTTATATGGGGCAGAGTGTTGGGCGGTTAAGAAGACTCATGTGCGTCGTCTGCATGCGGCGGAGATGCGGATGTTACGATGGATGTGTGG